ATAGGCTGCCAATCCAACGTGGGATTTTTTCAAAATAATTCTTAATAACAAAGTTGAAATTCGATCTTCAACTGTTAATATCTTCTAGAAATTTTTGAAAAAAAAAATTCGGTATTTTTCTGGTACTCCCCAAGGGAGCCTCTATCACCCCTTAAAAGGAATGACGCCAATTTTGAATAACCCTGTATAGCATCATCTGTAGTCTGTCTTAAATATATTAAATTTAACTGTTCATGCAGGTTTCTTGCAATGTTGTTTATTTTGTTATTCAAATTTTTGACTGAAATATCCGGAAAAGCTTACTAATTATGCTGGATTGAATAAACTTTAAAGAAAATTGAAACTAATTTTGTTTAGAAATAACTTTTTACATATTTAGCCTATTTTACTTTTAGTGATTTGGACGAAGAATCCATTCCCGGAGACGTAGAATTTCCTTCAATTGATACTGTGCACATTTACGAGAGGCGAGGTAAGTTATTATTAGTTAAACATATCAAAGAAATTAACACTTTTTTATACGTGAAATTATTGAGCTAAGCCGACAAACCATACATTGACAATTCACTTTCGACATCATTTATTCTACACTGATGATCAGAAAAACAGTAATTAGGGAGTTTCTTCTCATTTATTTCAGATGATGGAGTAACAGTGAAGACGTTGACCGAAGACCGCAATGGCAACAAATTGTCCGCAATTAATTTATTCAAACAGAAAAAACTCCTTTAAATGAGCTACAAATATTTACACAACTACACACAACACAATTCTACACAACGACGCAATACTAGTAAATAAATTTATTTTTCAAGAACTGTAGTTTGATTTATGCATGTCGCAATAATTATATTTTTTAGTCTTAAGCTTATTCGACTGATTCATCGTTCTCTTTTCAACTGAAAATAGAATAGAAGTTCGGCGTAGAATGATCTACTATTTAGTACAACAGGAACTTTAGTTTTACATTTCTTTTTGAAAACACAATAAAACATATCAGGGTCCTGATTTGGAGTCAGCAGTTAGTATCCAATTATGGTTCGTCTAGCCAATCGATCATGCTCTACGGAAATGATCCAAGTCAGAAAACGACCCATTTATAAACTTGGCGTTTGCGTTTGCGTTTGTCGTTCCCGTTTGCGTCCAAATTAAAGTATTGGAATACCTAACATCTATTTGTAAACACCGCTGGCCGGTACCGTTGCCGTTCCGTGCCGCGCGATATGCTGGGGCTCACTCATATTGACTTGCGCGGAACCAAGTTTTTGGTCTGAGGGTTGCGCCACCTTCCTTCGCACACGCCAAACAGACATCAATAGAGGGGGGAAAATATGCAAAGTGCATATCTATGCATTTTTTGCATATTTTATCCAATTTCATGAAAAATTGCATATATCTAAAAAATCTGTATATTTGTGCATGTTTGAAGATTTTTCTTTTCATCTTAATAAAATATTATCGAAATTCCATAGGCGGGTAAAGTTGCAGAAACGATCAGAACTGAATATCCTTTGGTAAATAAACTAAGTTGAAATGTAAAAAAAGTATTTTTAAAGGCACCTCTAAGAGTGCAGCTATATAAGGAGCGATTGCCAGGCGTAAGTTTACCTCCGGAACCCGTAATTACCCGGTGGGGAACATGGATTAAAGCCGCGATATTCTACGCA